TTTCCATGTATGGATGTGAGAGTTGGACCATGAAAAAGGCTGAGCACCGAAGGATTGATGCTTTTGAACTGTGGTGTTGGAGAAGACTCTTGAGAGTCCCTTGGACTGCAAGGAGATCCAACCAGTCAATCCTAAAGGAAATCAGTCCTGAATATTCATTGGAAGGACTGATGTTGAAGCTGAGACTCCAGTACTTTGGCCACTTGATGCAAAGAACTAACTCAATGGAAAAGACCATGTTACTGGGAAGGATTGAGGGCAGGAGGAGAAGGGGATGACAGAGAATAAGATGGTTAGATGGCATCACAGACTCAATGAACATGAGTTTGAGCAAACTCCAGGAGATGGTGAAGGACAGGAAAGCCTGGTCTGCTGCAGTCCATGGGGTTGCCAAGAGTCGGACTGGACTGAGCGACTGAACTACAATAACAACAAGCAGGAGGGGGCTTGAGAAAACCCGGGGACAGTTTTCCAGTGTCTAAACAAATCAGGAAATGCTTAAACACCTACATTTAGAGACAGAGGGAAGTGTTCTGAACCCACAGCAACCAGGGTTTGAATTTTAGCTTTGTTACTTCCTAGGCAATCCTAGGCAAGTCACTATCTTCCCTGAGAGGACAACAGCTGGGCCTCTGAGGGTCCTTGTGAGAATTAAGGGAGTTGATCCTTACACACGGTGCGCTCAGTAAATGTAAACTATTATTTATGACCATCACAAGTTGCTTAAGCTTTGAGCCTTGGTTTTCTCAGCTATGAGATGAGGGTAAACGTTCTAAAGGGATCCTAAACATGGCATCTGGGAAGACAAATGAGACAACATACCCAGGTCCCATCCCAGTGTCTGGCTGAACGCACATTCCTTCCATCCCCCTGCAATCCCTGTGCCAGACTTACTCTTCAAGCATACACGACCCACCGCTCGAAGAAAAGCACCGCTTGAGAACTTGAACACACAGGCGTGAGCTGAGGAGGCTTAACACATGTTCCCTCCCCGACCTGGTGAGAAAGCCTGTGCGGACGTCAGGACGAAATGGCCTGAGTGGGTGCACCAGTACCAGAGGGATCAGGCTGGATTCAGCTTCCAAGATTCTCCTCGGGTCCTGGGATGCAGGGACTGGGGCAGAGGCGCCGGCTCTGGCTGTGAATCTGGGCAGTTCGGGTGCTTCTGCCCAGACAGCCTTTTGGTTGGAGGTGGGTTGACCAGGGGTAGGGCAGAAAATTTGGGGAGCAAGGCAAGCACAATGTCCTCTCCCCAAGACTGAGCCATAGATCTGAACTCCTTTTTTCTTTTCCTTTTAAATAAACTACCAATTTACTAAGTTTCAGGCATTGTACCAAGCAGTTTACCTGAATCACAGCCACAACTCTCTGTGCAGCCTCAGGCAAATCACTTAACCTCTCTGAGCTTCAGTCCCCTCATCTGTTGTTGTTGCTGTTGTTGAGTTGCTCATTCGTGTCCTACTCTTTGCAACCCCGTGGACTGTAGCCTGCCGGGCTCCTCTGTCCATGGCATCTTCCAGGCAAGAATACTGGAGTGAGCTGTCATTTTCTTCTCCAGAGGATCTTCCCAATGCACTGATCGAACTCACATCTCCTGCACTGGCAGGCAGATTCCTTACCGCTGAGCCACCGGGAGAGCCCTCCTCATCCGTGAAATGGGCTTAATAGGATGTCTGCCTCCTAGGGTTGTGATGAGGGTTAAATGAATTCATACATACTAGGCTTAGTGATTAGATTTTGATGTTTTTTAAATACATTCTTCAATTTAATCTTCATAATGATCCTGGACGATTAAAACAATTGTCTTCTTCCTCACCTTACCCCGGTTTTTTTATTTGTTTTGTTTTGCCAGGGGGAGGGGAATGAAAACTGAGAGGTAAACTTGTGGCTCCTGAGTGTTGACCTGACCACATACCAACACACGGAGAACGTGTGATAAACAAAGTTCCCCGGGAAGCCCAGGATGGGCCCAAGATGCGTTTGCAGTGAGCGCGGCATCCCAGGTGGTCCGGAAGTGGGAAGCTGGGCTAGATGATCTGGCAAGGGCCCCACAAGGGTAGGATTTGACTGTTGCAGTGGCATCATTTTCACAAAGAGCACTTCCACCGATGGATGGGTTCTAACCCACTCTCCACGGCTCCCTGGGGCTTGGGAGGGGTGGGGAGTGGGGGTGTGGTTCTAGCCTGGCCCTCTCTCTCTGAGGAGGAGGGCTGCAAGGGGCTGTCTGGAGCAAGGTCTTCTAAGCAGCCTTTTGCAGGCCACCCTGCCCCCGTCATGGCTTCCTTTCCCAAAGCCACCCAAGCTATTTCATCAGCTCTTGTGCATTCTGGAAGGTCTCACCAAGGATCAGGGACCTGGCCCCCTTTGGCTCCACAGAGACTTCCTCTTCAGGACCCCGTCTCTGCCCTCTGGTGCCACTGGGCACGCAGAGAGCCTCAGGCAAACGTCAGGAGCTGCTGAAGCATTTGGTTCTTTTGCTCATTTTATTAATAAATGTGCACTGATGCCAACAACATGGAGACTGATGCCTGGGAACAGGAATGGGAGCTTGCTCTGGGGAGTTTTCTGGCTGGATCACGGTGGCAGGAGTGACAGGGATTGGGGCGGGGTGGGGAGAGGGGAGGCAGGAGGCCTGATAGCCCAATTTTGGGCAACTGGGGGCATCCAAGGACCGCTGGAGTTTGTGAAGACCTTTTTGGGAAAAGGAGAGCTTGGAGGGACCTGATGAGAAGGACCTGGTGCCCTGACCCTCCAGCCAGAGGACCTGGAGCTGCTTGGGGCTGGAAGCCTGGTTTAGCCCAGCTGTAGGCAGTTGGACACATCTTTCCCCAGGTCTGTTGGACTCTGGGTGTGTGAAGAGGGGTGGGGGGAGATGGCATCAGTGCTGTACCTGGAAAAGAGCTTAAGCCCCGAAGGCATGAGAAAGGCAGGGAGGCAAATTCCCCAGGGGGGCTGCCAGCCTGATGCCCAGCTCCGAGGGAGGGAGGCAGGGATGTGGAATGAAGGGCCTGGGGCCTGACACACAGCAGACACTCCGTACTCACAGCACAGCATCAAGCACCTTTCCAGGATGCTATAAACAGACACAGTCAGCCCTGGCGTGGCTGATAAGGTCAGGCCAGAGAAGTGGGTCTCAGTATAGAGGTAGCCAGCAGGCAAACCTTACTGCGGGCAAGCTCCCAGTCTCCAGCTCCATGCACAACCATCAGAAGCACCCTCTCTTTCAGCCAGGATATGTGTTCACTTCTATTACTGGCCAGTGAATAAATAAGCGAAAGACTTGCCAGGATCTGCCGTTTACCCTTTAAGGGAATGAACTGTTTCATTTGGGGAGTTAAAAAAAAAAAAAAATCCCTTCCAGATGAAATCCTCACATCACAGTCCAGGGGTGTCCATTAAGCTTGCTCATGCCCCTGACACAGCAAAAAGTTTTGATCACACCTACTGAAAATCTCTCTTCATTTATAAGTAATAATCATGCATTACTATACTCATGTAGGCTGAATGTTATTGAACAGGCACAAAAATATAAATTGAAAGTGCAACTCAATTAAATCAGATTACAATAATATTTTTAACGTTTTAATAAGTGTGACTGGTTTTACGCCATCATTTGCTAAGATCACAAACCAAAATCTACATTTAAAGTTGGAATCCGTGGCTCAGTGGGTAAAGACCCATCCTGCAATGCAGGAGACGTGGGAGATGCAGGTTTGATCCCTGGGTTGGGAAGATCCCCTGGAGGAGGAAATGGCAACCTACCCCAGTATTCTTGCCTGGACAACCCCATGGACTGTAGCCCGCCAGGCTCCTCTGTCCATGGGGTCGGACATGACTAAGCACACAGGCAGATCACAGTGGTGGATACAAATTCTTGTTGCAAATTGTCTTCTCACTCATATCTGAACTTTGGGGACCACTCTCTTATTAGACCCAGTTGGATCATCACGATGTTTGCTCCTCCGTGGCTGTCAGAGTGGATGCTGGGAAGCAAAGGGCCCACACCGAGCCTCATTCTGGATTCGATCACTTGCATTATATTCAAGGTTTCTTACATTTTTTGTCCCTCCTTTACACCTTCCTTTTAAATCCTCCTTCCACTTGCTGAAAAATCAATCGGAGAGTATTCTAATCTAGAAATTTGCTGAACTGGTCTCCAATGAAGAGAAAATTCTTCAAAATGCAGACAGCAAAGAAAAAGGCCGGGCTGCCAGCCCAATCTTTCCTGCAGTAACATTTGACATAGAGACCAAATATGGACATCAGCGTGAGTCCATAAATACTGGTAAAACGAAATTCTCCTCCTATCCCTTTTTGGATTAAATGGAAATAGAAATATCAATTTCGAACATTCCTTTCTCCCTAGTGAACTCCCTTGCACACCTCCCGGGGTGTCTGCACCCCACTTTGGAGACCTCTGTGTCAGGTTCCTAGCCATCCTCCTCACTCCCTTACCATCTCTGTCACAAACAGGAGCCCGCCGGAGCTCAGGAATATGCGAGAAATGTGGGTTTGGTCAAGTCACTACCCCTGGCTCCCTCTCACCCTTCAGGTCTCAGTTCTAAGATCACACCTGTAAGAGGCCAGGGTCAGCCCCTCACCTAGAGATTATTAGCCATGCCTCCCCTCTGCAAGTATCCTCTGTCTCCATGCTCCTTCATAACCTCCAGAGCACCCACCACATTTTGTCACTATGCAAATCTGTTCGCAGACTTCGCTGTCTCTTCTACCAGAGGATAAACTTAGGGGACGACTGGGGAGTCCCCAGGCTCGCCTTTTTCACTGCTGTGCGCTTGGAGCCCTCTGTGGTCCCGGGCACACTGCAGGTGCTCACTAAACAAATGAACAATGAAATGAATGAATCTGGTCTGGGCGGATCTACAAAAGTTCTCTGGATCAGCCTCGTCTCTCGGCCACCGCTAGAAGCTCCACAGTATGGGAACCAGCTCCCCATCTCTGGCCTCAGGCCCCTCCAGCCTTGCTGACCTCGGGGAGGTCAGATGTCCCCGGACCTGTCCACGGTGCTCAGAGAAAGCCCGGAGCGGCTCTTTGAGGCTTTGAAGAGCGAGATGTCAGCTGCCTTCCTCCGAGGGCCGAGAAGCCAGAGTATCAGAGAGGGGCAGGGTGGCAGCTAAAGACGCACAGCAACGCCGGGACAGGAGCACTTCCGGGTGAAGAGACAGCTGGCGCTTCCTTGGCACACGGGACTACGGCGCCCGGGAAGTGTGTGGTCGTGGGGGACAGTGGTGTCGTCGCCTAGGCAGGGCCCTACAAGGGACAGGGTTTGAGGCTTGACGTCGCCCTCCCTGGGGGCTGCTGTCTGTGCTCACATGACCCTCCTGGGACCCTCGTGGGATGTCCCTACAGCCTGGTCGGGGAGGCACAGATGAGGTGCAGAGAGGCGTCTAGGCTCACGCACGTGGAGCCAGGGCCACACCTGGGTTTCTCTGCAGGCACAAGGTGACGGCCCTTCCCCTCCCCACCTCCAACTCCTCTTTCTGAGCCAGCGCTGTGAGCTGCGTCACTCTGGGGCCCGCTTGTCCTCGGCATAGAGAGGAGGGACAGGTGGCAGCCTCATCTGGGTGTCAGCAGGTGCGGCCGCTCCACCGGCACCCACCCCAGCTTCTCCTGCTCAGCGCTTGCCTCTGAAAAGGGGTGAAATCTGACCCTCTAGGAAACCTTGGAGAAAAAATAGGGGAAAATTTCTCTTTTCAAGAAAGAGACCCAAAGGGACCCTGTTTCACCAGATTCCTTGTCAGCACCTGGGATAGGGAAGCTCAAATATATTTTAAAGAAAACTTGAAGCCCATGAGGTAGAATGTGGTGGGAACCATTTTTAAACATCGTTTCCCCTTTGGGTATCAGTTACTCCTTTACCATGAAGGGAAATGGCCTTTATCACCCAGAGCCAACAGCACAGGCCTCCCGTGTCAGATATCTAGGCTCCAAGGAACGTTCCTCAAAAGTGGAAGCTGCATTTGAGTCTGGAAAGATTTGCAGGAGGAAAAGTTCGAGCAAACACACAGGTGGGCAGGCCAGGGCCAGGTCTGGGGAGGCAGCCAGGGCCTGATCACAGGTAGGGAGGAGGGCAGGGGGAGGGGCATGAGGAGGCCGAGGGGAGGGAAGCGGGAGGGGTAACAGGAAGAGCCTCAAATCCCGACCCTGGGTTCCACTCCCGGATCTGCTGCTGACCTGGGGGGGACGTGGGGTGGGGGTCTCTGCCCCTTTCCAGGCCTCAGTGTCCCAACTGGCAAAACCAGGGGGACAGGTTTAAACTTGTTCAGTTGCCAAGTCCTCTCGGACTCTTTGAGACCCCGTGGACCGCAGCACGTCAGGCTTCCTTGTCCTTCACCATCTCCTTGGCCCAAATTCATGTCCATTGCATCAGTGATGCCACCCAATCATCTCATCCTCTGTTGCCCCCTTCTCCTCCTGCCTTCAATCTTCCCCAGCATCGGGTCTTTTCCACTGAGTTGGCTGTTTGTATCAGGTGGCCAAAGTGTCGGAGCTTCAGCTTCAGCATCAGTCCTTCCAGTGAGTATGCAGGGTGGATTTCCTTTAAGATGGACTGGTTGGATCTCACTTAGATGAAGTGAGCCCTAAGCTGCCTGGGCCAGAGGTGGCTCTGACAGCACCTCCCCTCCCCTCCCACTCCGTCCTGGCTCCAGCTGAAGCTGCTGGTGTCACAGGACTTCTCAGGCCTCTTCCAGCAGCAGCTTGCGATGGGCCCCCGCTAATCTCCTTAAACCCACGTCTTCCTGGCTGCGGTTGCCATGAATGGCCTGTGGGAGCCTCCTCTCCCTGGAAGAGAGGACTTTGTGACTTGGCAGGAGCGACGCCGGCAGGCCCGGCCCCTGCCTGCCCCCTCACCCGCCTGCGGCCCCCCGGCCATCTGTTCTTCAGGCTGGGTCCCAACAGAAAGGCCATTCAGCGTTCCCTGCCTCCCCGCCCCAGCCCAGGCCTGAGCAGATGGCCTGCTGCCACCCCTCCCTGCAGGCTGGAGAAGCCTGGAGGCCCAGCTGGAAGCCGGGGGCTAGTGGAGTCTGTCCTCCCCCTCTTTCAGAAGTGGTCAGTGGGTCCTGGGCCCCAAACTCACTGGGCCTCTGTGCCAGACCCACGCCCTTCTCACCTCCCACTGCCCGGCAGCCCCACCTCTGAGCACCCAGAGAGGCACCGTGAGGGTGTGAACACCCTTTGACATGGCCCGGCCCAGGCCAGTCCCCTGAGTCTGCACAAAAGACGCCCGCCACCCGCTGAGGCCACACAGCTCCTCGGAAGTTAAGCCAAGACCGCAGCTTGAATTTCTGGCTCCTGGTGAGCGCTCGCCGCCTCACAACTGTGGGCCTCGGTCTGCCTGGACCTCAGGGTGACTTGGGGTGGGGAAGGGTGGCTAGATTCTGACCCGGAAGTTCTAGGGAGGGCTCCGTGGATCTGCTTGCTTTTCACTGGGGGGTTGGCCGTGCTGGGTCTTTGCTGCTGTGCATGGTCTTTCTCGAGACTGCTCTTCATCACGGTGGCTTCTTTAGTTGCAGAGCACAGGCTCCAGGGCATGAGGGCTTCACTAGCTGTGGTGCACAGGCTTAGGTGCCCTGAAGCATGCGGAATCTTCCTGGACCAGGGATCAAACCCTGCATTGGCAGAGGCGGATTCTTAACCACTGGGCCATCCAGGGAATCCAGAATCTGCATTCTTGGTAAACCTTCTAGGTGATTCCCAGCAGGCATGGCCTTGCTTGCTATCTTCTCTGTTTATTTTTAGCCTGAATGGCAGTTAAAGTTCTGTGACACAGGCAAGTCACCATTCCCAATTCACAGGGGAAGAAACCGTGGCCCCCAAAGGCAGGCGATTTCATAAAGTAAACCTCACACAGGAAGGTCCTGCCAGAGGCTGGTCTGGTATCGAATGCTGCTGGCTCCTTAGTTAGTGGCTCGTGGCCCACAGTTCCCTGCCATCTCCCAGGGGAGAGCAGGGATGGCCCTGAGACCCTCGTGACACTTCTCCCCTCCCCACACTTAAAAACCGAAAAGATGATGGCATCTCCCTCTATCTCCAGGGAAACTCTAAATAAAACATTAAACTCTAAAGTAATTGTAAGGAAATCCCACGATGACAATAGTACCTTGCATTTAAAAAGTATTATTAAATCTTTTAAAAACACCTCCCCTCATTTTGTGGCCCTCCTTCTATGGTGCCCAGAGCAACATCCCCACTTCTAAGAGATAACTCATTGTCCCAGGGACCCTTTCCTACCTGGGGGCCTGAGTGAGGGGCCAGCCTGCCACTGAGAGCGGCCCTGTCTTCCCCGGGCCTCGTCCTCCCCCTCCCTCCTCCAGCTCCACCCAAGTTCCTCCCACAAAGCTGGAAGCCATGCGCCGTCCATCTCAGATGGGCCCTGGCAAGGCAGACTCTCATTGGTGGGGACTTGAGCTGTCTGCCCCTCATCTCCCTGCGGGGGTTCCTGAGGGAAGGTCCAGGCTCCCTCCTCACCGCTTTGGGGAAGGGATTCCTCCCTAATCCTCTTCAGAGAGGAGAGAGAGGGAGCAGCCCTCCCAGGGACGGGGCCCTGAAGCTGCCCTCGCTCCTCTCGGGACCACTGGCCTTCGCTGGAAGGACGAGTCCCCTAGAGGGACTTCGGGGGCTAGGCTTCATGCTGTGTGCCCTTGAATAGGTCATTTAACCTCTCTGAACCTTACTAAAGTAAAACAGGACCTATATTCTAATCCTACCTTATACCATTATCCAAAGATGGAAGGAGATAGAACACAAAGACACACACACACAGAAGGCATTGAGCACAGAGCCTGACTCACACTCAGCATTCAACACGCTGTCCTTATTATTGCTGTGAGCTAGAGTGACATCAGAAGAAAGAGCACTGCAGAAGGAGTCAGACACCTGCATCCTAACCTGGGCTCTGCCACTAAAGGGTAAGCGGTTTTGAGCAATTCCCACAGCCTTCCGGGGCCTCAGTTTGCCCATCTGTAAAATGAGAGAGTGGGGCCGAAGAGGTCTCCAGTCCCTTCCAGGGCTGGCTCTCCATCATTCCACTACTTTCCATAGCTCCCATCTGCCCTTCCCTGCTCAGTTAAATGTCACCATTTCTAGGAAGCCTTTCCCAAGAGTCCTAACTCACAAGCCTTTCCGGCAGCCCTGACCCCAGCACTGCATTCCTCCCACGGGCCCCGGGTAGGCTGACCGCGTCCCCTGATCCATACGGGCTGTGTGCGCCACCTTGACCTCTGACCCTCAGTGTCTGGGAGAGTCATGAGATGGAGCAACCCTCTGTCCCTTCCTTCGGGCCAGTGTTCCCTCCGCTCCACAGACGCAGACACTGAGGTCTGGGTATTAAACAGCCCAAGTGGCATGACTCAGGGGGCCCAGGAGACCCAGCGCCTCTCCCTGATGTGCTGTAGTGACTCAGGGCTCTGGCAATCATTACAAGAGCGATTACTCCTCAAACTGGGTATTTTTCACTGTTGACGCCATCGCTGCCGAATGGGATCTCTCTTTTTTTTTCTTTTCAGTTTGCATTCACCAGGGCGGGGGAGGGATTGAGTGTGAAGCAAGGCAGAAGGCAAAGAAAGAGAAAGCTGGACTGAGCAGAGAGGTCAGGGTGGCTGCGGGCTGCCCTGGGTCCCTGGTGGGGGAGGGGAGGGGGAGGGGCAGGTTGGGGGGGAGTCATTCAAAAGCTCCCTGCACCCACCGGAGGTCAGGCTCCTTGGACTCCAGGGGTTATGCTCCGGGCCGGGGAGCTGGATGTGTATTGCAGGGGGCTGCCAAGACCAAGACCACACCTGCTCTCACAGACATCCCCCCGCCCCCGACACACGCTCCCTGCACTCCTCAGACACCCACTATGTGCCCACCCTGGGCAAGGCACACAGATACGACAGTGAACTGGACACAGTCCCGCCTGGAAGTAGCTCTCAGCCGGCCCTGGGCACTCTGAACCTAACTCTCAAGGCTACCAGGGTGTCTTGAGAAAGTTGCTGGGGTCACCTGCATCCTAACTTGGATCTGCCACTAAAGGGTAAGCGGTTTTGAGCAATTCCCACAGCCTTCCAGGGCCTCAGTTTGCCCATGTGTAAAATGAGAGAGTGGGGCGGAGGAGGTTTCCAGCCCCTTCCAGGGCTGACTCTCCATCACTCCATCACTTTCCATAGCTCCCATTCGTCCTTCCCGGCTCAGTTAAATGTCACCGTTTCTGGGAAGCCTATCCCAAGAGCCCTAACTCACGAGCCTTTCCGGCAAACCCAACCCCAGTTTGGGGAGGGTCTTTGGGAACCCAAACTGGGACTAGAGTATGGGAGATGCAGGTGAGCGGCCAGGAAAGAATTCGAGAGGAAATGAGCTAAGAGAAGCATGAACAAGAGCCGCTAGGTGAAGACTGGGTGTGGTGGGGGAAGAGCATTCCAGCGGAGGGAACAGCACACAGGATGGATCCAGACAGCAGGACACGGCAGTGCCTGAGAGGGTAACTGAGCGTAGCATCTGCTCGAATGTCTGTCTCCCCCATCAGATTACAAGCTTCTCTGTGGCAAAAATCACTTGTTTTATGTATGTATATTTACATATTCATTTTATCTCAAACATTAGAAGTTCATTTAAATATCTTGCAAAGTGAAGTGACAGGTTTATGACGGCCTTTACCCTCGGGCTGTTGGGTACTGCTGCACAGGTTGTGCACTGCAACATTCCCTGTGCAACAGGATAGGATTAATATCTGGCACTTCTGTGCTACCCTACTATTTATTAGTAATTATTCTCAATCCCTCTGTCAATCTCCCCACCTCTCTCTCTCTTATGTAATATGTACAGAATAAGGTGCTAGGAATACAATGATGAGTGAAACAAATCAAGTTTCTATTGGCAAGGAGGGTATATTTATTGGAGGCAGATAAAAGAAACAGATACATGTAAAAATGGAAAGGTAATCTTAGATGGTGACACCTGCTGTAAAGGTACAGAAAAGATCAACCAGTTGGGTGACAGGGGTCAACTGTGATATGGTGACTGAGTACGCTCTCTGAGATGACCTTTCAGTTGACACCAGGGTTGAAATAGAGAGAGAGAGGCTGCCATGGGAAGGCCTTATGGGAACAGCATCCCAAGTAGAGGGAACAGCATTCCAAGTAGAGGGAACAGCATGTACCAAGGGCCCAAAGTAGAAATAAGTTCAGTGGATACAAGAACTGGGAAGGTGGTTGGGAAATTCCCTGGTGGTCCAGTGGTTAGGACTTGGCACTTTCACTGCTGAGGGTCCGAGTTCAATCCCTGGTCAGGGAGCTAAGATCTTGTAGGCTGCACTGTGCCACCAAAAAGCAAGAAAGAACTAGGAAGGTGAACACCGTGTGACTGGTTCCAAGGGAAAGAGGGAAGGAGGGCAGAGAACGGAGGGCCAAGATGCCACAGTGATGAGTCTGGATTTTACCCAAAGCAGCAGGGGAAGCCATGTTTCGTCTTCTCCAATAAACTTTTTCAAAGCTCTCTTGGACTGCTGAATGGATGGCAAGCTGGAGAAGGCAAAGCTACGAGCTGGAGACCAGTTAGGAGGACAGACAGCAATTGAAGGAGAGATGACAGTGACTTGGGTTACAGCTGGGGAGACAGGGTAGGTGCTGGTAGCTGAGCTGAGGCAACATAGAGACAGGTACTCTTACTGCTCTCAGGAAGTAACACCACCACCACCACCAACGTGGCTCATGAGTACAAAGCACTTTCACAGCTACTTTTATCACCTGTGACAGGGACAGGGCCCTAGCAATGGGCCCATTTTCAGCTGTGTAAACTGAGGCTCAGATAAAGGAAAAGTCCTGCTCTTCAAATCCTAGCGACCTGGAGGGGATCCCCAGGAACTCCCTCCCGCCCTCAGGATGCCCACTGAACCTCCTCTCCCCATAGCCCTGCCTGGGGCCACTGTCCTTCCCCACCTCTGGAGCGCAGCAGCAGCCAGGCAGAGTGGGCTACTGTTTACTGCCTGGGGCTGGAAATACATTTTAGCAATTGGCAAAACACGGCGCAGCAGCTCAACATGCTTAGATTGGCAAACGCACACTGTGCCCTTCTCTTAATATAAGGATATAAAACAATAATTTATTCTTACTCAGAAACCAGAACACTTCTTTCTGCCAAAGTCTTCCTGCAACCCCTTCCTTCAGCCACACTGCAACAGAGGGGCTCCCAGAATGCCCGGGGCGGGGGAGGGGGGTGCTGGGAAGTGGGCAAATCTTAGGAGCTAGAGTGGAGGGGCACATACGTTATTGAGCACCTGCTGTATGCTGGGCCTTCAGTATTTCTCACCCCATTGCCAAAATAACCCTGTAAAAGGGAGATTAGAAACACAGGAGTTATCAAGACTAGGGTTCGAAGCCAGGCTGTGTCCCTTACCAGCTGGTGATTTGGGGGAGTTTACTTAAGGGGGCTTCCTAGGTGGCACTAGTGGTAAAGAACCTGCCTGCCAATGCAGGAGACCCTGGCTCAGGAAGATCCCCTGGAGGAGGGCTTGGCAGCCCAGTCCAGTATTCTTACCTGGAGAATCCCTTGGACAGAAGAGCCTGGCAGGCAGATGCAGTTACCAGGTGCTCCCAGGGCTGGAAGAGGCGGCCTTGAAGGCTTCCTGGTACATGTGTGATGGAGGGAGCAAGGGGGAGGTGCTGGGAAGGACCGCTCAGGAATGAGACTGCCAGGTGGATGGCAGGAGGGTACTCCCGGCAGAAGGCCCAGCCTGGGCAAAGGCCAGGAGGGCTGAAGCACTGGAGTGTTTGGGGGGTCTGGCAGGGTGGCTTCGCAGGGTCCGGGCTGGTGCGGTGTGTGGGGGCGGGGCCGGTGTGCTGATCCCCACTCACCCAAACAGGCAACAGCGAGGCCTTGGCATCCTCTGCGTAGTGAACACCAGCGTTTCCCAAGCCGAACCCCTTCCCCAGACCCTAACAAGGAGATCCACACCATCGCCAGCATCCTGGTGCTTGGGCCCTAAATAGGCAAACAGAGGCAACAACTGATCCACGGTGGTTATAAAGACCTCTTGCAGGGTACCAGGGGAAAACCGTGGATTTTGGAGCTGACAGATTGGCGGGCTGGAATTTACGGTGCACGGGGCCTCAGGTTCCCATCTGTAAAATGGGCCATGTCACAGACGCTTGATACGTGAGGCACGGGTCTTGAACCCACAGGTTGCCCAGCGTGTCTTTTCTCTCTCTGCCTCGACTTCATTGAGGATTGGACAAAGACAGCGGCAGTGGCGGTGAGTGGGGGGACGGGAGACCCTGGTTCAGCCTGCCGGAGTGCGGGGGGACTGGGCGGGGGGGGGGACTAGGGATCTGCCTCTGGGGGCCCCCATCCCAGGAGCAGCAGGCTGCACCCAGCCACGCAGGGGTTAACCCGCCTCCAGGCCGCGGGCTCTGGCGTGGGAGGAGGAGCGCAGGGTAAGGACTCCTGGCAGGTGCTCCCTCCACCCGCTCGCCGCCGCCCCCCCCCCCCCCCCCCCGGGCCCCGGAGTCCCCGCGCCGCTGAGCGCAGCCTCCCAGCCAGCTGAGTCCCCATCCCCCCAAGTACAGGCGGCGGCCACGGGTGCCCAGAGCCTCGGGGCACGCCCAGCCCTGAGCTCCTCCTCGGAGCAATTACATAATGGTGCCTCCGGCGCGCGGTGCGTGGCAGCGGCGAGGCCGCCTTTGTTACTGCGATCCGCCTTGGCAGCGCTCCGCTAGTATTAATAAACCGATACTGCAACACGCCAGGCTGGGCTGTATTTATGTGAATTTGGGCTGGGGCACCTCCGAAAGAATAATAAACACGACCCGCCCCCTCCCCTGGAAAGGAGGGCAGCTGGCTCCCCGCTCCCACCCTCAAGTCCCTCGGCTCTGAGCCCCTCCGCCGCCTCCTCGCCTAGGTGAGCAGTCCATACCCAAGAGCGAGGCGGGGCGGGGAACGAAACAGCACAACAGGACCCCCGCAGACTATGGGTCCCAGGCCCGTCTCTTCCACTTCTCTGGTGGGTGATAATCTGGCAGAGGGGGACTCATTACTTTTACCTGTAGACTATGCTGAATAACAGCCAAGTGTCAGTTTAAATAAGAGCGTCTAGGAACTTACTCTGCTTTGTAAGCTCTGAAGCCATCTTCTTAAACTTTAGCTTCATCAGAATTGCAGGGAGGACCGGTTGAAATGCAGATTGCTGGCCCAGCAACTCTGTCTCTTCAGAGTTTCCATTCTGTGTAGTCGGAGGTAAGACCAAGACTTTGCATTTCTAACCTGTTTCCTGTAACCATGCTTTGAGAACCACTGCTCAAAAGCCATTTATGAATTACTGTTATAAATGTAAACGTTTGCCCTTACTCCAGACTTGGATGACTACACTGGAGATGTGTGCACACATGCTAAGTCGCTTTAGTTGTGTCCGACTCTTCACAACTCCATGGATGTACAGCCCACCAGACCCCTCTGTCCATGGGATTCTCCAAGCAAGAATGCTGGAGTGGGCTGCCATTTCCTCCTCCAGGGATCCTCCCTACCCAGGGATCAAACCCTTGTCTCTTACATCTACCTTCATTGGCAGGTTGCTTCTTTACTAGGGCCACCTGGGAAGCCCCATACTGGGTATAGGGCGGGGCTAACAGTATGCTCAGCCTTGCAGGAGATGCAACCATCTGTGCCCTGGTCAGCCTCACAGCCAGAGCCATCTGTGGCAATGGGCCTGGGGTTCCAATCCTGACCTCATTGCTCCTGGGGTGTGGCCTTGGGCAAGTTATGTAACTCAATGAGCCTCAGTTTCCACATCTATAGAATGGGACTAATACTAGGTACCACCCTCATAACATTTGTTAAGGTGTGGGTGTGTGTGTTAGTTGCTCAGTCGTGTCCGACTCTTTGCGACCCCATGGGCTGTAGCCTGCCAGGCTCCTCAGTCCGTGGGATTCTCCAGGCAAGAATACTGGAGTGGGTTGTCATGCCCTCCTCCACGGGATCTTACCAACCCAGGAAGACTACCACATTGCAGGCAGATTCTTTACCATCCGAGCCACAAGTGATCCTTTGTTACGATGAATACCTGTAAATCACCCAGATAGGCGTCTGAAAGCGATCTACTGAGATGCTAGAGCCCTCTGAGGTGTGGCACCCAGTGGGCAGGAGGCAGGTGAGGTGCTGCTCGTGGCCCTAGTTGGCTGCCCAGGGACCAAGGTCCTGACCTCACAGCCCAGAGTGGCTGCTGTATGCTCTCACTGTGGAGGGGTGCTGGGAGTCTCCAAAGCTGAAGATCTACTATCTGCTGTTCCCCGACCCCACAGCAGTTCTTTGTAGTCAGGCAGGGCTCAGCGCTTTCAGAGAGTCTGCCCCCATCCTGAGGCTCTTATTTGATTTGCAGAAATGTCAGCTGTACCCACAAGGGGTAGTCCCTACTCCATTCTGTCTGAGTTTTGGAAGCTGCCTTCTTCATACCAGCACAGAAAAACAGGTGTCCTGGGCCCCAGACAGCATCCCCCACCACCCCACCCCCCACCCCCTGCAGATGGCAGAGGTTGGCTTTCCCTAAGACAGTCACATGCACCTCCCTCCACCCCACTCGTTGCCATTTCCACACGTTCGTTATTCACTGAGTCAATGAGCATTAACTGAGCACTTACGTGAGCTAGGCTCTGAGCTGCGCCTCACTTAATCCTCCAAGTACCCTGTGCCTCGTCATTTTTCTCTTCCCATTTGACAGATGGAGAAAACGAGACTCAGAGAGGTTGAGTTACTCAACTATGGCCACAGACCTAATTAGCAGGAGACTGGGGCTTTGACCCTAAACCCAGGGTGGTCTAACTCCCAAGTTCTGCCCTCACCTGCCCCCTTGAGCTCACTCTATGGATGTAAGAAAGGGCTGGCTGTGGTCACCGGTCCCAAGGCTGAGCTGTTACCTCCTTCCTTTAGAAGGACTGAGCCTGCCTGCTTCCGCCCCCATCATAACAGGCTGCGTCTCCCCAAGGTGAGGAGCTGCTTGACTTTCTGTGGTCCTGGAGCAGCAACAGCAGCGGTGGGGATGATTCATAGGAGGGAGGGCGGCCATGGAGGGAAGGAGCCTGGGCAGCTCTCCCCGAGCTGGAGGCAGAGGCTAGGCAGTGTGGGGGAGGCCGGTCCCAGGGTCCCTGAGTTCCCGGTCCCCAAGGCTGCGCTCAGCCCGGGCCTGCCGGGACTGGAGAGGAAAGACTCAGAGATCTTCTTACCCGACAGGCTCACAGGGAAGGAAGCAGCTCTGGAGGAAGTGAGGCGAACCAGGAAGGAAAGTGGCAGGAGTTGTGAGAGCCCATCTGGCCTGCTTTGTGAAAGCCCTGTGTCCTGGGACAGCAGACCTTTGCCCGGGCCAACATGGTGCTCGTTGTGGCAGTTTTCACCACCCCTGGCTTGACAGAGCTCACCCCAGAGCTAATCTTCCAGTTTCCAGAGCACCAGCCCCTCGGAGGCCCTCTCCCTCCCTCCTCTTACGGGCTTCCTACTAATAATATCAGCTTCAACGGTCTGCTGTGTGCCTTCTCTTTCTAAGGGCTTACTGAGCATCCTCTCTCTTAAATTCCCAATAACCTCTAGGAGGAAGGCTCCACTATTACTCCCATTTTACAGACCAGGAACCTGAGGTTCAGAGAAATGAAATCATTGGCCCAAACCAAGGATTTGAAGCCAGGCCAGTCAGTTCTTGCAAGGAGATCAAAGTAGTCAATCTGAAAGAAATCAGTCCTGAATATTCATTGGAAGGACTGATGCTGAAACTGAAGCTCCAATACTTTGGCCACCTGATGGGAAGAGCTGACTCACTGGAAAAGACCCTGATGCTGGGAAAGATTGAAGGTGGGAGGAGAAGGGGACGACTGAGGATGAGATGGTTGGATGGCATCACCGACTCAATGGACATGAGTTTGAGTAAAGTCTGGGAGCTGGTGATGGACAGGGAGGCCTGGCGTGCTGCAGTCCATGGGGTCACAAGAGTTGGACATGACTGAGCGACTGAATAAGAGTCTGTTCCATAACCCCTGGGCTCAAGCACCACCGGCCTCTGACATCTTCCTCTACACGTTCCCGCCCTCGCCCCCCTCTCATCCCGAGAGGGGACCCTGGTGAGACCTATCCCCAGTCCCTAACACCAAAGACTAGACCAACCCACAGTCCCCCCAGCCTCTCTCCTCATCTCTTGGGTGCCAACACTGGTTCCACTGCTGGAATCTTTGAAATCTAATGGCATCTGCATTCTTCCCCAGGGATTCACAATCCACAAGTGATTTCTAACCACAGACACTGGCATACCCTGTGCCCCCGCCACCTTCCAACACCCACCTGCGCGTGCCGCACACACAGACACACGGGCACCAAGGAGGTGCTGCCGCCCTGCTGCCGGCTGGGCCAGGGCAGATGGAGCCCCAGCTGTTCCCAGGCTCCTGTGGAAGGCTGGAGGGGAGTGACCCACCCCCAGCTGGTGGCTCCAGCCCCTGCCCCCCGCCGCCCTTGCCGGGGCTTTGAGGGATTCATTTCACAATTATGAGAATCACAGTATGAATGGTAATAATAGGAATTCGCATTTCCAGTTTGCAAACCGTTTGCATCTCATCACCTCACGTGACTCTCACAAGCACAAGAGGCAGGTACTTTTCTATTTCCATTTTTTAGGAGCAGCAGAGGGCCCCATGCTGATTAGAAGCAGAGCCCGGGTCCTAACCCCTTTCTGTCTCCCTGTCAGCTAACCTTCCCTGTCCTGCACTGTAAATCATCATGACATCTCACGGCTACCATGTGTCAGGCACCTATTCTTGCCTAGATTTGGGCAGCACTTTAAAGTGCTGGTTTTGGGGAATTCGCTGGCAGTCCAGTGCTTAGGACTCTACACTTCTGCTGCAGGGGTGCCGAGTTCAATCCAGGGTCCGGGATCTAAGATCCCCGAAGCTGTGTGGCATGGCCAAAACAAATAAATAAAATCAACAGTCAGTGTGTCAGTTTTTACCCTCTTTACATTTATGTTCATTGTAAAGATGAGGTAACTCAGAAATGTTAAGGGTAGAATGGCAGCCTAAAGAATGTTCCTGCAATAGAAGCACATCACTCTAGAAAATTGCATAGGAAGGAAAAGAACAGAGCTTCTAATGGGCTCTTTAGTGAAAGTGGACACCAAGGATAAAGCGGAGTTTCTTTACCTTCTCCTCTGCGTCCCCCACCCCCCAAGCACTTTGACTGTTACTGTCAGCTGTTTCTACTCTTGCTGTTGACTGTATGTGAGTGTATCTGTCTCCCAGGAGCTGTCAGCTCTTCAAGGACAGGGCCTGGGACCTTAGCAACCAGCACCTTGCCTGGCACACCAGAGGGCCCAGTCAACATTGCCTCCTTCACAAAGGATGAAGAAGCTTGTGCTCACCCCTCCAATCTGATGGGCTTAGGGAACAAGAACACAGAATCAAGTCACCCAGGGCTCAAGGTTTATCCACATCAAACACCACTAGGGTGTGAACCCCTCCTTTGGCACCCTCATCAACTCTTCCCTGGCTTCTGCTTGTATGCCACTAGTGACAGGGTGCTCAGCTCCTCTGAGGCAGCTCCTTCTGTATTGGAGATCTTGGAGTGATCCCTATAACCTCCTTCTACTGATATAAGGCAGGCTCTTATATAAGGAGTCACACCTGGGGGGGGGGGCACTAGAAGTGTCTCCAAGTTGGGGAGGGCAATCAGGGGTAACACTGCATACCAGTGA